GTGTATATATGTATATATATATATATACACATATATACATATGTATATATATGTGTATATACATATATACACATATATACATATATCTACATATGTGTATATATATGTGTGTGTATATATGTATGTATACACATATATATGTATATATATATACATATATATACACATATAGTTGTATAACTAGTATGTATATATGTGTGTATGTATATATATATATACACACATATATACTAGGGATGTCCGATATTACCTTTTTATTCCGATTCTAATATCAACCGACACCAATATAGCGTGGCAGTGGCGGCCCTCTGCCCCTCCACCCAATTGAAATACCATTGAGCGCCTGGTATATATATTTATATATGTGTCTGTACAAACCACTGTAATAGTTGCTGGCACCATCATTCTGTATACAACCCCATGATTATTGAAATAGTTTAGATAATTTAGAACGACTTACTGCAGTTGAGTTTTAATAAATGTTCTTCAGAGCGGAAAAAAGGACAACGATTCTTACTGATGTTACATAATTATGCTAACATTGGGCTGATAGTATCGCTCGGCCAATAGAGTATTATCGGACATCCCTAATGTACACATATTCATATGCATATACAATAATATAATATAATATAATATAATATAATATAATATAATATAATATAATATAATATAATATAATATAATACAATATACTGTATATAAATGCATCTATATAAATATAGGTGCATTGTTAGTAAGAGTCTTGATGACTACCATCTGTCTCTCATGTTGCAGCTATCCTCTGTGTTCAGCGGTTGATTGGCAGAACGTCCACACGAGGCGCTCTCTTTCTTTTCTTGTTGACCGGGTGCTTGGCTGCGTGGGTGACCGGGGTGGTGTTTGGGAGCGTTCCAGTCATCTACGCCTGGATCAGGTGTGTCTCACTATAGGACGTGTCCTCAAAGACACAACAAAAAGAGTGGACAGAGTGGAAGTTAATAACAGCACATACATTTGAAACTAAATTATTATATTATATTATTATTATTATATAATGTATTAAGACAAGTAGAAAAAATATAAATATATTTTTGATTCAATTTTATCAAATCGAATTAGTGCCGTTTAGCTAATGTTAGCTAATTGCATTTGTATGTTGTATGCTAACGTTAGGCTAGCTCTGTTCCGAGTTTCATATCTTTAACCCTAGCCCACTGTCTGCTGTGTTGGCGTCTTTAACATGATGCTGTCGGTTTCGCAGGTACGACAGCGCTGAAATGCTCTGCGCCGTCTTCTGGGAGACTAACTACTCCGACATGATGGTCTACATCCTCTGTGCCTTCTCCATCTGTATCTTCCTCCCCTTCCTCCTCATTCTTGTCTGCTCTTTGCTGAGCGCCGCAGGCTGCTGCTCAGCTTCTGACAGGTGAAACGTTTTTTTTTTCTGTTTGAGTTTGTCCATTTCTTTTTTATCCTGATGTGTATTTAGGGACATTTAGGGACATTGTCCATTTGTCTTCTTGTTGTCTTGTCTTGTTCCTCTCAGTGACGACGAGGACACCGACCTGTCTGCCGTGAGCCCCCTGCTGGTGGCCTGCTACGTCCTTTGTTACTCTCCCTTCGTGATGTCTGAGGTCACATTTACTGTTTGATACACCTTGAGAAAGAAGATTGAAGAGTTTGTATTGAACTCAACACAAACTGTCCCTTTTCCAATCAGCTGATCCTGCTGGGTAGACAGGACCTGTCCCCGGCTCCCACCTGGTTGAGGACGGTGTCATCGGTGATGTCGTACCTGGACTGTGCTCTGAATCCACTGATCTACTGCTCCCACCAGGATTTCAGGGAGGCGGGTCTGGCCCTGCTGTGGACCAGCAGGAAACTTTCAGCCCAGGATCCGGTTCTCACTGCTGTGACCAAACCATGATGTGATGTGAGTTTTCGAGAGGGAGTGAACAAAAATGTGATGATTATTGGCAGAAATAAAATGAATAAAACCAACGTTATTGTTTGTATGAGTGCAGAGTGGCTTTTTATTCAAATTCATCTGTTTTTCTTTGTTATTAAAGCTCGTTGTCTTTGGTAAAAATGAAGCAAAAATAACTGCTGTTCACACAGCCACAGACCACACATTAGCCACAAATACGTCCCCAAAAATATGCAGCATTTGTGCTTAAAAACTTCAGTTTAACATGCGTTGTTGATGTATGAAATAGACCAGGGCTGAGGACTTATTGTGTATAAGATAAAAAATAAAATAAAAATAAAAATTTTATATAATATAATACATATATATATATATATACATATATGTATACATATATATATACATATATATGTATACATATATATACATATACATATATATACATATATACATATATATATACATATATATATATATATATATATATATGTATATATATATATATATATATATATATATATAAGGAACTGAAGATTTTTTTTGGAGACATTTTTTTTTGGAGATAACAATTTTATATATAAGTGAGTTTAAAAAAAGGTTCCGATTATAATCACTGGAATGTTGAGACATGCCTCTGAGGTGTCGCCAACATTTTCCATGTGTGTCTTTTATTCGGCCATGTCAATAACCCGTAAAATAAATAAATAAATCAGAGCAAGCGTCCGTCCTGACCAGAAATGAATGTAAACCTGTCAAAATCAACACATTTTGAGTTAGCTCACTCTGATTTCTTTTCTTTTCTCCGAAACTGAAAAAAACAATTTATGGGGAACTTACAGGAGCAGGTCGCGACGTGAGGCCAATGATTCTACCAAAAAAGGAATTCTCTGATGAAAGTGTTTGGACTCAAAGAGAGGACATTTAGAGATAACTTTTTTTGCAGCTATCCGATACGTCGATATTGTCCAAACACTTCATTTCCGATTCCGATATCAACTGATATAGTGGACCTGCGGTGGCCTTGGTGGTTAAGGAAGTTAAGTGTTAAGGTGGCACTTAAAACTAATTTGATACGAATGTCGAAACACATGCTGGAAACACAAGAAGAGTGGATTTGGTTGTGTAGCTTCAGACCCGTCTTCGGTTGCTCTAATGGTGGCGCTAACTTTAATATGTGTGAACAGCTACACTCGTGTGAACAGCGCTGCGGCACATGCACTGAGAATGGTCAACTGGACATCGCCCTCCGTCCACAGACGCTCCCTGCTTGTCACTCAGCTTAAGTGTTCGATAGAAAAAGCTCCCGAGTCACTGGACCTGGTGAAGGTCTCGTGGTATCTCAGCGACGTCTGGGAGCGGTAAAAAGTGTTGCTTTCCAGTGGACTGTCGGTCACCTGCAAAGAGCAAAAGGTGTATTTACAGAAAGTAAAATATATGTTAACCAAACGACAGAATCATTAGAAGAAGATAGAAAAAAGACAAAAACAAAAATGAATGAATTAATGACATTCAAAAAAACAAAAAACAAAAAAAACTTCACCTTCACCTCTTCAAATTTTTTGGCCTTGTATTGCTCCGCCCCTTTCAGGAAGTTCAGCAGTATGATGTCACACAGCACTGTTCCCTGGATCATCATCATCATGCAACAAAATATAATTCATTCAAAGGGTCTTTAGAAGAAAAGTGTAACAGCAGTTTAGAGCAGGCATGGAAAATATAATAAATATATAAATATAATATATAATACAAATATATAATGTACTTATACAATCATTATACTTCCGCCTTTTCCCAGCTAAAAGCATTTTAGCCTTTACGCATGACTTTAACATGTCGTCTATTTGCTCCTGACCCCAACCCTCCACCCCCCCCGTTTAATTTTAGGACAATTAATTTTAGGCCCACCAGTCAAAAACCAAACAATATATATCTAAGAGCAGGTTAATATATAAGATTTGAATCCATAGACTTAACATAACTTCGTAAACTTTATTTCCGATCTCAACATTTTTCCACGTTTTCTCCTCACCACTCCCACTGAGGTGAAGGCTGCCACCATGTTGATCAGAGTAGGGATCATGTTGAACTTCCCTGCCTAGAAAAACAAAAGGAAACCGGTACACATTCTGTAACGTACTATATTACAATACATTTAGAGTACTATACTATAAACTGTTT